TTTTTTTTTTTTTTTTTAAATAGTCTCACTCTGTGGCCCAGCCTGGAGAGCAGTGGCATGATCACAGCTCACTGCAGTGTTGACCTCCCAGGCTCAGGTGATCCTCCCACCTCAGATTCCCAAGTAACTGGGGCTACAGGTGCATGCCACCACAGCCAGCTAATTTTTTGTATTAATTTGAATAAACGGAGTTTTGTCCAGTTACCCAGGTTGGTCGTGAACTTATGGGCTCAAGAAATTCACCCACCTCAGCCTCCCAAAATGTTGACATTACAGGCATGAGGTCCTGCACCCAACTGGCACCTTCGTTTTTATCTTATCAAATGTTTGCACAAGTACTTTAAGCCATTTCAAAAGACTTCAGTCTTAGAATTATAAATTAAAACTGAGGCGGGGACCTCTGTTAGGACCAGAATTTCCTTGTTAAATGGCCTGTAGGTTGTATGTGGACAACCAACAAAGTCACTGCTTCTCTGTTTTAAGGACAAGCAGATAATTTGAGACCTCTGTGGGACAAAGTTGGCAAAAATTAGAAGGTAGAGCAAATTGACACCTAAAATGAAGGAGGTTCTATCTATCAGAGCATTTTACATCCCCATAGATGGCTGGGGCCCACCCACCTCATGGACAGGCCGCCTTCAGCACCTGCACCCTTTTTTGAGAATGCTGAGATCACCATCAGTGTCACCTCTGCCTCTTGGGCCCCTCACCCAACATACTGTTCCCTTTCCAGGTCTTCCACAGCTGCTTGAGCAGAGCAGGTATCACACATACTGTCTTACTGTCTTCCACACAGATTCTGAACTTCGCAAGGACCAGTTTTTGGTCTCGTTGCGTGTCCCCAGACCTAGCATAATCCTGTCACAGTAAATCAAGCTGTCTGTAGTCAGTTCTGTGGGTTCTAAACTCTGCACCTACTACTATGGGTCAGGCTGCCCTTTTGCAATGAGAATTCACCATGAGAAACCTAGGCTTACAGCAGTGAATTTGCCCAGAATCAACTTGATAAGTCGCATGGCTAGGACTCTAACTAAAATCATTTACTTCCTATTAGAATACAAAATGAAAGCAATCCGGTTTAAAGTCAGTTAAAAGTCAAATTGGAATTGAAACTATAAGAATATTCTGCATTAAAAAAAAAAAAAAAAACCTTCACATTCACATTAATACAAGTGCTCCCAGTTTCCAGACACCTCACACTGTAAGCCTGTTTTCTTCTATTTAATCAAATATCCAGTGCCCGGCATAATCGCTGAGTTTACGAGTTCCAGTAAATTATTAAGCAAGCTTTGTATTGCAAATTGTTCTCGGGACAATTTCTGTCTCAAGTCTGCAATGTGTGTACTCTGCATACTTTTTCTCATGTCCTTCAGCGTAATTTTCATTTAATATTTGTCTTTCTGATGAACGAATATTTATAGAATTTCTATAACTGAAAGCAACATTCCTGAAGGAGGGCTGAACTAATAGCTGCAGGGAGTACAAAATCACGGTAATTTACCGCTTTGCTGTTGTACAATCATGCATGGGAGTGTTTCCATTAGAAATGTATCCTGCTTTCAGGCCGACAGACTTTACAAAGCCCACATTATGCAGCCTTAGTACAAATAAAGAAGCTGCATTAGCAAATCAAAGATAGGCACTTATCTTTTTCTTTTCTGCATGGAGGGGGAAAAAAAAAAAACAACCCAAAACATCAGGTCCAGGTAAAGCAAAAGTATTCGACCAGCTTCAGTCTTCCTGCCCTTGCAGTTGTTTGGACAATGGTTGGCTGTTGAGATCTATCCTCAGAGTTCTCTAAAGTCGCATCTTGTTCTTTTGTTTTGTTTTTTGTTTTTTGAGATGGAATATCTCACTGTTGCCCAGACTAGGGTGCAATGGAATGATCTCAGCTCACTGCAACCTCCGCCTCCCGGGTTCAAGCTATTCTCATGTCTCAGCCTCCCAAGTAGCTGGGATTACAGGCGCCCACCACCACGCCTGGCTAATTTTTGTATTTTTAGTAGAGACAGGTTTTTGCCATGTTGGTCAGGTTGGTCTCGAACTCCCAACCTCAGGTGATTGCCCGCTCGGCCTCCCAAAGTGCTAGGATTATAGGCGTGAGCCACCATGATGAAGTAGCGTCTTTACCAACCCAGGCCTGGATGTGCACTTGCTGTAACATTCCCATTATTTGCTTGTTTTTTTGTTTCCTCCCTGAGGAGGTGAGCTCTTCCAGCACTCTGCAGACCTGCCAATTAGCAGAGCTTGGCATGTTGGGCACCCGGTAGGCACCGCTGAATGAATCAATCAATGGGCACACCACCATGTCCTTCCGCTTTCCAAGTCGTGTTCCTTCTGAGATGGATGGTTTGTGTGCTTCGGAGGGTTTCCTCCCACATGGTGGTCTTACAGGATTTCTAGTCAACTTGGTAGCTCAGAGTTAGGACACTGGGGGTTGAGGCCCA